AAATCTAGCCTGATCCTGCACAGCTTGGATGAGAAGGCATGAGCAATTATGCTCATCCATCGGAATGCAATCCTCACACAACCATTGATTGCCACACTTGCGACACACGTCTGAGCAACTGCTACATACTGGGCGCCTGCAGGCTCTATTCGGTATGCGGGCTTTCCCCGGGCATCTGCTTTCCGCCTGGGGCGGGCAGTTGGGGCCCCAGTTCCAGCATGTCTCACGCATGGATATTGTACTGTTGCTCCTCGATGTGGATCGGGCTCCAGATCTTGGCATCTTGGGCCTTCCCCTGCTCGAAGCAGACGATCTGGGACGTGTGTGCGTACTCTCTGGCGGTCTGGCCGCCTCTCGAAGCTCCTCATCCCTTTCGTCTTGTCTGACCAACTCATTCAGCGAAGCCGGGGGGGTGAGCATTTCATCATCCTCAACTACGGCGGGTGCCGATGGTTGCCTATGCCTGTGGCGACGGCAGTTCGATAAAACCCTTCCTGAAGCAGGGAATCGTTCAAGTCGTAATCTTCATTCCTGTGCTTCTTGAGTAGACGAGCGGGAGTTCGCCCCGTGATCTTCCGGTCATGCTTCGCTTGAGTCTGATACTCCATTTCCACCTCAACCGCCTGGGGCGGCAGATCACTTATCTCGGTATCTGAGTCTGGTACTGCAAATGCTTTCCCAAGGGCTTCCACGTGATCATAATCAATTGTCTCCTGCCCAGGGGACCACCTCCCGTCTTGGACGGGATGGTCTGCATCAATTATCGATGGCAAAGCTCGGCTCAATGATACTTGATAGTTGGCGTGGTCCATGTCTTCCTCCATGGAGTTCATGTCATCTCCATCGTCAAACTGTTCGTCACTATCTTGGCCGGTTTGTCCGTTCAAGACTATCGGGCCGGGATGAGTCCCTTGAGCGTTCCCCAATCCGTCTGGGTCGGTGGGGTACACGCCTCTGGGCCCCTCAGCCTCTCGCGACCCACTGGCTTGGCCAGCGGCCGGCACAATAGTCCGCATGGCAATCGGGCTGGAAGATATTGTTTCCGAGGATTCGGCAATTCAAAATGAAAATGCTCCTCGTTTGATCTTTGCTGTTGTGCCGTCCCGCCTCGTCGGGTCTGGGGTCTGTTCACGATCACCGATCGGAATTCAAGAGGGAGAATCATCTACCGACAAATCAATAACTTCTCCCCTACTCCTTCCGCGAAAAACCCGAGTGGTGATAGAAGAAGAAGGAAGGCGGCCCCTCCCCGGGCCGCTGTCCTGTAGTTCTTGCCCGTCACGCTGTACAACTTGCGATCCGACGGGCAATTCGGCTGTCTCATCATAGCTCATCCCTGTTGCGACTTGGCTTCGGCTGATAACCAGTCTTTCCTCTGAGAATCGGGGTAAGATGACAAAGGAATTCAGGTCTCGTATTGACTCTGCTCAGTAGTAGAGGATACGGGGTGAGACATCGATGAAAATATAAGTAACCGTTAAGCAACTGCACTCAAGTATGGGAAAGGAGGAGGTCGGCCGGCCGACGCCCGGACGCGAGCGCGCGGCAGCACGCTCCTTTTCTGACCTGAGAGCAAATAACTGCGGAATGGTACCGCAGAGTGAAAGTGTGGCAAGGCAGGCAGCAAGAGAGGCAAGTGCAGTATGAGGCGGAGAGGAGCATATTTACTGAGCAGCAGGTCTTCATGGGCGAGGCCGTCTACAGTCAGGCCCCTGGCAGGAACGCGAAATAAGGAGCGAAACCCCCTTTTCTTATAATCAAATAGTGAGATATATATATATATATATATATATATATATATATATATATATATATGTATATATATATATATATATATATTATACATATATATATATATATATATATATATATGGAACGGCCGAGCCCCTTTTTGGAAGCGTTCCCCTATCGTTGCCTCTCGTCTTCATGGGTGTACCCTGGCAGCAACCTTCGGAAGTTTTGCGGGAACGGTCTTTGCTCCTCCTCTGCATCGACATGATGCCGATCCGGCGGCCAGCCCCAGGGGGGGGCAGTGAGGAGGGGCAAGCCTGCCAAGGAGAGGCGGAGAGCCTCCGGCCTCTCGGAGAATCTCTGCGAGGCCTCCCCCGGGGACACGGACAGTTTCTGGAAAGCCGCGAGGGCTCCTGAGAGGCCCCGCCGCCTTCTGAGAGAGCCTTTCCCTTCTTTTCACTTCCCCCCCCCCTTCGCTCGCCGCCGATCCTCTGCGTCGACATGGTGCTGATGGCCCTCATCCGTAGGCAGCGGCTCCGAGCCACGCGCCCCCCGTCTGTGACGACGGCAGGCGGTTTCGGCGCCAACGCCACTGTGACAGGAGATGTGAGCCGTACTCTGGCAGGCAGCGGTCAGCGCAGCAGAGGCTCCAGTGCGGGTCGTAGAACAGATCGTCAAGAGCGTAGCCGCATGCGTGCACCTCGCACTGACAATATATTGTGCTTCTTCCGATCCTGCTGATCCGCCACAAGGCGGGTATTCTCCGTCTGAGCAGGGGCCGACGGAAGGGGACCCAGCAACTCCTGCGGCGCCTGCCCCAGACATTCTCGTGGTGTTCCCGCACAGGCCTCTCAAGCGGTTCCCTGCAGCCACGATGGCTAGCGGGTCTTCATGACAGCGCTCGGAGACAATCTGGCGACCTGTTCCGCAAAAGGTTCGCAAAAGGTTCGGCCTATGTACGTTCCTCCCCCACAGCCTGGGGATCTGGGCGACGGGGTGGGGTCGCCTAGGCAACTCCTGCTGCTTCTTGACTCGCATGTGCGTCTGGGCAGCAGAGTGATGCGTTGGGTTGAGCTTCCAGGACCTGGCGTCGTGAGGGCTGGCATGCAGAGATTCTTGGTCCACACAGCGCACCCTCCGATCCCTAGGCCGTGGGGCCACGGTTGCCAGAGTGCAGCCCGTCCAGTGCAAGAAGCTGCACCCAAAGCCGTCGAGACCCCCCGCCCTGTCTCTCTCGCGCGGCGTCGTTTCGGAAGCGAGACTTCACGGCGAGTCTCAGCCAGGAGAGGCCCAACAAAGGTGGCAGATAAATAGAAGAAGAAAAGACGACATAAACATAAATTGTTGGCGCTCCGCGCGGATTTCTTGGATCTGCGCTGGCCCCTCACCCTGGCGCGCGGAGCGCGCCACGGGGCGGCGCCGGAGGCGCCGCCGGGGGGGGCCCAGCGCGGATCCAAGAACTCCGCGCGGAGCGCCGAAACTTTATGTTTTTGCCATTTCCTCTTCGAGCAAGGGTCGCAGCCCTTCTTCGGGCCCGCCGGCGGCGGCCGCTGCCAGGTCGCGCTGGAGGAGCCGCCGGGGGGGGCCCAGCGCGGAGCCAAGAGATCCGCGCGGAGCGCCGAAAGTTCAATGTTTGTGCCACGTTTCCTCTTCGAATAAGGGTCGCAGCCCTTCTTCGGGCCCGCCGGCGCCCGCCGCTGCCAGTTCGCGCCAGGCCGATGCTGCGGAGGCTGCGCCCGCGCAGGAGTCCTGCCCGCCTCCCGGCTCCCCGCTGTTCTCGCGGCCGCCTGGGGAAGCTTTCGAGCCCGAGGCGAGGCCACTGCGACGTCGCGGGGGGGGCTTCTGTCGTGCGCGTGGTGGCCAACGAAGCGGTCGCTGGTTGTGCCGTCGACCCGCAGAAGGACGCGCGGTGAGGATGCAAGGGCCTCGGAAGGCCGTTTCGAAGCTTCTCGAGCGGGGCGCGGCCAACGCAAGTGGCCAAGGATGGGCCGAGGAGGGAAGGATGCAAGGGCATCCTTGGGGGAAGTTGCCCATCCCTATGTTGCGGGTTGGCTGTACACGCATCAACATCAGGTTCGTTCGCGGCCTCGATCGCCTGTGAGGCTTCGTGAGTCAGGCGGCAGGCGGCGGCGGGTCGCATCGGTGCCAGTCGAGAGGCCATCGCCCCCTAGGGTTAAGTAGGGCGTCCCCCTACAGGGGGATTTTCGACGAAAAATAAAAAAATACCCCAAAAATGCCCCAACATGGTCAAAAAATATTCAAAAAATAGTCCCCAGACTATTTTTGATTATTGCTTGACTATTTGGGGGGTATTTTGCTCTTTTCGTCGAAACTCCCCCTGTAGGGGGACAGGCCCGACTTAACCCTAGGGAGCCACCCAGGTCTCCGCCTCAACCAGAGAGCCCGACGCCTCCTCGACCCTTCGCTCCCAGGCAGGAGGATGCTGGCGACCCTGCGGATGCCGACTTCTCTGGTGTTCACCCTCCTGGGCGCACCACGTGCCATCTGCGCCAGTGGCCTTTTCTTCGTAGCAAAAACGGCGAATGACATTGTGCGGGGGTCGAGTCGTAACGGCTTGCCCAGCGACTGGTTGCCCGAGTGCTGTGTCCGACCAGCACACGTGGGAGGGCCAGTGGCGCGGAACATGGTCAACGCTGGCATAGGTTTTGGGTGCGGAGAATGTTGGGTCAAAGGCTCGGCACCGCCGTTGCAACCTAATTGGATCCGTTGGCTTGCAGCTCGAGCAAGCACGAGCTCATATGCCTTTCACGCGCAGCCGCAGTCCTGGAAAGCTTCAGTTGTATGCAGAGTCTTAGCTCGTGCCTGCTCACCTAGTTGCGAACATTTCGCGCCATGCCGGCCGCGATCTTTACTATAGTATGGTCGCATCTAGCGCACGAGCAGCCTCCTCCGAACTACTCTGGCGTTTGTTCTTTCGAACGGCTGCTGACTACATTGCATATGTTCTTTTCCGCATAAGTGCGTGCGTGCCGCGGAGGGCACGTGTGGCTTCATAATATCTCTCGGGGCGACCATCCTCAACATGCGGCGCCCCCCTGCAGTTAGGTGCTTTGCACTCGGGCGCTGGATTCGCTGGCGCGACAGCGGAGTTCAATATCGGAAATGACATCATCATCGGTCCATTCCATCACATTCAATCACACGACTTTCCACTCACATCACACATCATCAACACCCCCTCATTAGCATCATCACACATTCATGTGTACGGTGCCGGAACCGTAGCAGCAACGCCCCCCCATTGGCTCCAAATCCGGACGCAGTGATCCTCCCCACCGCTTGCGCACTTGTGGACCTGGTGAAGGTAGCAGGCAGCCCAGACCTGGGACACGGTCGTCTTCGTCGTCGTCGGTTCGTCGTCGTCATCGTCGTCGTGTTCGCCGTTGTCGTCGCAATCGTCGCCGAAGTAAGCGCGACCATCGTGGTCGTGGTCGTGGCTGTGGTCGTGGTCGTTGTCGTCGCAATTGTCGGTACCGTCGCCGCGATCGCCGCCGTGGTTTTGGTCGCGGTCGTGATCCTGGTCCTGGTTTTGGTCGGCAGATGGTGCCACCACATCCCCATATCCCTCTTCTTCCTCCTTCTCCACAATCCCTCAATATGAATCCGCCGACCCTGTCGGCGTGTGTGGCGTATCTGTCCAGTCCCATCGACGGGGGGCCTTCTTTCGTCCCCTGTTTCCCGTCCTCCTCTCCCGTCGGGGGAGAGAGAGAAAGAGAGAGAGGGGAGAGAGAGAGAGCACCCTTCCTCGTTCAGGGGAACGGGTTCGCAGGTTGAGGAATTCCAACCACGTCCCCACTACGTCAAAGGAAGCCCCTTCCCTTTGTCCCTTCCCCGGCGGGGGGGGGAGGGGTCCCCGGGGGGTGGGGGTGTCAAATTCGCATCGCCTCTGGGGGTCCTCCTCTCCCACGCCAGTCCTTTTCCTGCGCGCCGGTCCTCCTCGGGTCCTCCTCCCCAGGTGAGGAGGAATCCCAGGGGGGGAGGGGAGTCAGATACGCATCCGTCCCTGGGGCTCCTCCTCCCCCTCCCCTCACCTCTCCCACGCCGGTCCTCCTCCCCAGGGGGGGTCCTGTTCCTCCTCCTTTTCTCCGCCTCCTCCTCTTCCTCCTCCTCCTCCTCCTCCTCCTCCTCCTCCTCCTCCTCCTCCTCCTCCTCCCCCCCCCGGTCGTCGTCGATGTCTTTCTGGGTCGGCGGCACCGGCGGTCAGGCCTTCACAATACTACTATCCTCTCTCCGCTTAAGACGGCCGGGGAGTGGATCGACCGTTTCCGCGAACTGCTATTTACGAATTAGATAAATAAACACGTTGATATTCCATCTGGCTTTTCTGGTCGGAGCGTCGTCGGTGTCTAAAAACGGTGCTGCCGCTGCATGCCTCATTTTAGGACTGGCGCTTGATCCCATCGTTTTGTGGATCCGAATGTTTCCTTGTCATTGTCGTCCCGCTCCTTTCCCCTCCCCCGCCTTCCCCTGGTCATCCTGCCCACCCCACTTTTCCCACTCCAGCTCTTGCTGCTGCTGCTGTTCTTCCTCGTCCTCATCATTTCTCATCCTCTTCCCCTTCCTCCTGCTCATCCTCCTGCTTATCCCCCACCTCCTCCTCATCAAATGTACGAAATTTTTTTTTCTGATTGCGCATGACATGATGGGGTCTCGTTTGAAAAACCAAGTCCTCTGTGGCATGCGTCGAGGAATAAACATCAAATAAGCGCCAGGGGAAGGGATGGATGGTTGGGAGGGGTAGCGTGACAGATATGGCGCGAGCGCACCGAACTCGTCCTCCTCCCCCTCCCTCTCCCCCTCCCTCTCCCCCTCCTGCTCCTCCCCCTCCTCCTCCTCCTCCTCCTCCTCCTCCTCCTCCTCCTCCTCCTCCTCCTCCTCCTCCTCCCCCTCCTCCCCCATCCTCCTCCTGCTCCTCCTCCTCCTTTTCCTCCTCCTCCCCTGCCTCCTCCTACACCTCCTCTTCCTCTTTCTCCTCCTCCTCCTCCTCCTCCGGGCGGCCGCGTGTCTGCCGCGCGCCGAGAGCACTGTGATCGGGAGCCGGCGCCACCCCCCCCCCCAGGTGCGACCCGCCGCTCGGCGGCGAGCCGCTCCCGAAGAGGAAGGGGCGCGCCGGCCGGGGGCTCTAGACCCCACTACGCGGGAGCTCCGCGGACACCGCGAGGACCCCGTAGCCGGCCGCCTCGGGCCCCCGGGCGGCCTGCGCGCCGGCCCCCAGCGCCGCCCCCAGCGCCGCTCCCTGGCCAGTGCAGCGCGCCAGCCGCCCCCCGGCGCCCAGCGGCGGCCGCGCCTCCGCCGCCCGCGCCAGCTCCGCGCTGCTGCCGCTGCCAGCTGCCCCGCGCCGCCGCGCGCCGTGCTCTCAAGCCCCCGCCGGCCGCCCGCGCCTGGCCGCCGCCGGCCAGCGGGGGCCCGCCGCCCGCCCTGCCGCCTGCCCCAGCCCGCCTTGCAGCAGGCCTAGGCCGCAGCCCCAGAGCAGCCTCAGCGCAGCCCGGCCGCGCGCCGCAGCTGCTGCGCCAGCTCCCGCTGCAGCGCGCAGCTGAGCACCCGGTAGGCGCGCGCCAGCTCCTCCGGCTGCGCGTGTTCAGGGAGCTCGCGGGCGCGGCTCAAGAGCCAGCCCCGCGCCTCTGCGCCGAGGCGGCCGCCCGTCTCCAGGGCGAAAGCCGTCAGGCGCTCGCCCGGGTAGCGCGCGCGCTCGGCGCGCTCGGCCCGGCGCGCCGCCTCGCCCGGGCGTCGCGCCGCCGCGCGCGCGGCGGGCTCGTCGCCGGCCGCTGGATGGCGCACTGTCACGTCCAGCAACCTCCTGCCGTCGACATCGTCGTATTCGACGTCCAGGACGGCCCGTTCCTGGACCGCCAGCTGTCGCCGCGGCGCGCGGGCCCTGTCCCACGTGGGCACCCGCTGCTCGTGGAGCGGAGCGCAGTGGCCCCACCTGCCAGCGAGGCTGCCCACGGCGCGCGCCACTCCCTGGCGCCGCTCAACGACTCCGCCGCCGGGCTGGCAGATTGCGGCGTGGAAGCCAGCCTCGTCCAGCGGCGCCTGACATGGGGCTCCCCCGGCTGTCAGGTTCTGGCAAGTCGCCGCAGCTCGCGCGAGCTCGTCGGCGGCGCACTCGGGCCGCGGCAGCTGGGCCCGGCGCCGGGTCGCGGTCTCCCAGCGAGGGCACTCCAGAGTGCAGGCCAGCTCCGCGGGGCACTTCAAGTAAGCCCCAGCGCCTGGCCCCCCGGCAGAGAGCAGCGCCGCCTGGCTGCAGTGGTGCATTCGCTGCTTTGCAACAGCGTGGGTTCTCTTATGCACCATTGCAACCGAGGTCTTCTGCTTGGTCGGGTGGCCCAGCAAGGCCTCCAGGGGCGCCGCGGGCTCAGGGTCAGCGCCCTGGCGCGCTAGCTCAGCCCGCTTCGCCTCCAGCGCGGCCGCGGCCTGTGGCAGGGCCGCCAGCATGTCTCCGAGGGTGGGAACGCCAGAGATGCCCAGGTCGCGCTGGACCTCCGCGGCCGCCTGCGCCCAGGCCGCCCAGAAAGCCGCGGCGCGTCTCGCGCAGCCCACTGCGCGACGGCCCCACCCAGCTTTGCCGGCAGCCCCAGCAGCTCGCTCGCCTCCGGGCCCAGCGGCCGTCGCAGCAGGCTCTCCGAGCAGCCTCTCAGCGCGGCGTCGTAGCGGAAGGTCTCCTCCGCCGAGGCCAGGGCCAGTTGCAGGTGGTGCTGGCTGGCGTTGCCGGCGTAGGCGTTGAGCAGCGCGCCCGCGGCCTGCTTCTTGAGCCCTCCTTTCAGCAGTCGCTCGACGCTGGCCCAGAGCTTCCCGAGCCGCTCCGTGGCCCCGTCCAGCCCGCAGCCCTGTCCGCCAAGCGGGAGCGCCGCGCCGTCGGCGTCTCCGGGCGCCCTGAGCTGCGCGCCGAGGACTGGGAGCACAGCCGCATACTTGGGGGCGAGCTCGGCTTGGACAGCCCCCGCGGGAGACCAGACCAGCGTCTCGTCGTCGTTCAGCTCCAGCCCCAAGGGCGCGAGCAGCTCGCGCAGGCCCGCCAGCGCCAGGACTCCGAAGTCCGCCCGCGCCGCCGGGTAGCTGTCGTCCAGGTAGGAATACAGGCGGGCGCCCGGGTCCAGTTGCTGCAGCCGGCGGAGAAGGTGCTCGCGCCGCTGCCCAACGGCGAAGCCCGCAAGGGACAGGGGGTCACCCTGGTCGAGCCCGCGCTGGCTCTGGACCGTTTCGAAGCGCCCGTCGGCCGTGCGCCAGCAATGCTCCGCCGGGCCCGAGTGCCAAACCCTCAAGGCCGCCGCCACCTCAGGGGCAGCTTCGTCCATGGCCGCGAGAGCCGGCCCTCGCCGCATCCGTTGGAAAGCTGCCTTTACATTCACCTTGATGTAGCGTCCGGCCGGGCTTCCGCCAGGGCCTGCCTGCAGGCTCTTTACCAATGCGTTGGAGCCGCCTTTGCTCCCCGCGCCGCAATGGTGTTTCCCGGCTGCGTCGGCCAGCTGAGCCCACCGTGCTCTCGCCAGCGCGCGCAGCCCCAAGCGGCGGAGAGCGGCGCCCACTTGCAGAGGCCTCACGTCCCCAGCGCCCTTCGCGAGCGCCACGAGCTCCCCCGCGCGCAGGGCCTCGAGCACCTCCCGCGGCAGCTCCCCGAAGGCGACCCTCGTGGCAGCCCGGGCGAGCAGGCGCGAAGTCTCGCCGTCGACGGCGCTCGCCCCCAAGTGATCGAGCCGCGCCCCCAGCAGGCCCAGCGCCGCCAGGCGGGGAGGGCGCCGCAGTAGCTTGCGCACCTCCTCCGCCTCCTCCCTGAGCTCGGCGCTGGGCGTCGCACGGGGCACAACTGGCGGTGGCACCCAGTTGGCGCCGCCAAGTGGCTCCTCCGGGAAGCTCGCCCGCAGTTTCCGCAGCGTCTCGGCGGCGCGCGGCGCCAGCTCGGCCTGCGCTGCTGCTGCCAGCGCGCGGGCTTCCTCCCCAGCCGCAGCTAGAAAGTGCACCCGGTGCGCTCTCTGCTCGTCGGTCGTCTTCCGCGCCGGCGCTCGCGGGGGTGGGCCGCTCGTAGCCGACGCCCGCAACGGGGCCGACTGCCCGCCCCACCACAGAGCCAACCGTTCCTCCAGCAGCTCCGCGCACGTGGGGCCCGCCCCCGGGGCCGAGCGAATTACACCAACTCGAACAACAACAGCATTTTCCACTCTGCTGCGGCCTCTCCGTGCCGGCTCGCCTCTTCCAGGACTTCCAGCGCCTTGCGTCTCGCATGCGTCACTGCCCCGCGAAACCTGTCTGGCACTTGCACGAACGTGGGGACCCAGGAGCGCAAGGCAGACCGCCAGGCGCTGCCACCAAGCCCGATCAGGGAGGGCCGTGTCGTCCCATGCAGGGTGCATCACTGGAACTTGTTCCTGCTCCTGCTCGGGCCCCTCGGCCTCGCGGCCGCCGTCGGCGTTGCTCCGGCTGGCGGCCGCCGAAGCCAACGCCGTTCGCGCCTCCTGGACGTGGACATCCTGGGCACGAGGAGCCAGAGCGCGAATGTCGTCGTCGGGAGCCGCTTCACGGAGACGCAGCCCAAGCACAGCCAGCTGTAACGATGACGGCTGCCCCAAGTGCACATGCGCGCCTCCGCAGTCTCAAAGGGCATTGCGCACCCCTTGCACGCAGCTGGTCGCTTGGAAGCGGGCTGAAGGTCCAGTGCCCACTCCCCGCGGCGGCGGCGCCGTCCTCCTCTATCACCCTCCTCTCCATCTTCCCCCTCCTCCATCAGGTAGCGTAACCGAAGTAGACGGAGCCCACGATGAGCACCACCTCACGTCCGCGCAGTTCCTGTAACCGAAGTAGGTGGAGTCCAGGACGAATGCAACTCTCAAGCAAATGGCCTACCAGATGAAAAGAACACAGTATACAGAGATGCAATACAAATCCCAATCAAAAGCGTCAGCCTTATATCCCGCTCAGGGCGGTCCGGTCCAGCACAGATCGGAACAGCAGCGGCCTCGGATGCACAGAGCGGCAGCGATCGCGAGGCCAATATGAATACGAAAAAGGGGCGTACGGACCGGCCGGCCAGCCGCTCGCCGGCCGCTCGCTCGAGCCTCGTCCTCCTCATCCTCCTCCTCCTCCTCCTCCTCCTCCTCCTCCTCCTCCTCCCCCGCCTCCTCCTCCTCCTCCTCCTCCTCCTTCTCCTCCTCCTCCTCCTCCTCCTCCTCCTCCTCCTCCTCCGACGACGACGACGACGACGACGACGGCGGCGACGGCGGCGGGTGGCGACGGCGAATGCATCGGCGAATGCATCGGCGACGGCGACGGCGACGGCGACAGTGATGGCGACAGCGACGGCGACGACTACCGCGACGGCGACGGCGGCGGCGGCGACTCCCCCCGAGGGGGGCCGGCTGGCTGTGCCCCTCGCACACGGCGGCCACGGCCCAGGACCGCGAGCTGCCCCACACCGTGAGCAGCGCCGTCACCTCGGCGGGCGGCGCACGCGCCGCGGCCGCCGCCGCCATCGGACCAGCATGCAGCAGGAGAGAGGCCACTCGAAGCGGCCGTGTGCCGCAACTCGGCGGCGGGAGGCGGGGTCGCCGCGAGGCCCCAGTGGCGGTCTGGCCGGCTCGTCGCCGCCCGTCGCCGCGTTGTGTGGCATCCGTTTGCATTGTCCTGCATTGCTTTGACGTGCTGTGCATTGTTTGGGATTGTGTCGCATTCGTTTACAACGTGTTGCGTTGTTTTGCACTGTTGCTTCGCATGGTTCCGCACTGTTTGATTCGAAAGGTTTTGCGTTGCTTCGCGTTGCTCTGCATTGCTCTGCATTCCTTTGCATTGCTTTGCATTGCGTTGTCTTGATTTGCAATGTGTGTTGTTTTGCATCGCGATGCAGATGTTTGCATTGTGTTGCGTAGCTTTGCGTTGTCTTGTCTTGCTTGACACACACATGGACTGTACTACATGGGTTACACCACCTAGACTGCACTACGTCGATTGCACAACCCATATTGCACAGCATAGATGGCAAGAAATCACGGTTTGGTGTCCACGCTGGCGAATATCGACTGCAAACAAAATATCCACAGACCCTGGAGGCGTACGAGGTAAAGGGGCGGGACTCCCCACCACGCCCCCGCCGCGTCTGACCCCAACCACCTCGACATCCTGGGCGTGGTGTTTTAAGGGCCTCCCCACCTTGCAAAAACTCGCTCCAGCACCCCCCACCGCGTCTGACAACCCCAGCCACCTCGACCTACTGGGCGTGGTGCTTGAGGGCCGACACCACCCTGCGAAAACTCGCGCCGGCACCCCCACCGCGTCTGACACCCCCAGCCACCTCGACCTCCTGGGCGTGGTTTTCTAGGGCCCCCCCCACCCTGCGAAAACTCGCGCCCGCACCTCCCACCGCGTCTGAGATCCCCAGCCACCTCGACCTCCTGGGCGTGGTGTTTTAAGGCCCTGCGCAACATTTTGGGCCCCCCACCTTGCAAAAACTCGCGCTGGCATCGCCCACCTCGTCTGACAGCCCCAGCCACCTCGACCTCCTGGGCGTGGTGGTTCAGGGCCAACATCACCCTGCGCAAATTCGCGCCGGCACCCCCCACCGCGTCTGACAACCCCAGCCACCTCGCCCTCTGGCGTGGTGCTTGAGGGGCCGACACCACCCTGCGAAAACTCGCGCCGGCACCCCCACCGCGTCTGACACCCCCAGCCACCTCGACCTCCTGGGCGTGGTTTTCTAGGGCCCCCCCACCCTGCGAAAACTCGCGCCGGCCCCCCCACCGCGTCTGAGATCCCAAGCCACCTCGACCTCCTGGGCGTGGTGTTTTAAGGCCCTGCGCAACATTTTGGGCCCCCCACCTTGCAAAAACTCGCGCTGGCATCGCCCACCTCGTCTGACAGCCCCAGCCACCTCGACCTCTTGGGCGTGGTGGTTCAGGGCCAACACCACCCTGCGAAAACTCGCGCCAGCCCCCCCCACCGCGTTTGACACCCCCAGCCACCGCGACCTCCTGGGCGTGTGTTTGAAGGCCCCCCACACTGCAAAAATTGCGCCGGCACCCCCCCCGCCGCGTCTGACATCCCCAGCCACCTCGACCTCCTGGGCGTGGTTTTAGGGGCCCCCCACCCTGCAAAAACTCGCGCTGGCACCCCCCACCGCGTCTGACAACCAACCACCTCGCCCTTTCGGCCGCGGTGTTTCGGGGTACCCCCACCCTGCGTAAACTCGCGCCGGCACCCCCCACCGCGTCTGACAACCCCAGCCACCTCGCCCTCCCCTGCGTAAACTCGCGCCGGCACCCCCCACCGCGTCTGACACCCCCAGCCACCTCGACCTCCCCTGCGTAAACTCGCGCCGGCACCCGCCACCGCGTCTGACAGCCCCAGCCACCTCGACCTCCTGGGCGTGGTGTTTTACGGCCCCCCCCCCCACCCTGCAAAATACTCGCGCAGCTCCCCCGCCGCGTCTGACCCTGCCAAAAACTCGCGCCGGCACCCCCGACCGCGTCTGACACCCCCAGCCACCTCGACCTCCTGGGCGCGGTGATTTTAGGCCCCCCCCCACCCTGCAAAAACTCGCGCCGGCCCCCCCCACCGCGTCTGACACCCCCAGCCACCTCGACCTCCAAGGTGTGGTGTTTGAGGGCCCCCCCACCCTGCATAAACTCGCGCAGGCACCCCCCCACCGCGCCTGACACCCCCAAGCCGACCTCCTGGGCGAAGTATTTCAGGGCCCTGCGCAAACTCGCGCCAGCACCCCCCGCCGCGTCTGACACCCCAGCCACCTCGACCTCCTGGGCGCATTGTTTTAGGGCCTCCCCACCCTGCAAAAAACTCGCGCCAGCACCCCCCACCGCGTCTGACTTGGGCGTGGTGTTTTAGGGCCCCCCCACCCTGCAAAAACTCGCGCTGGCACCCCCCCACCGCGTCTGACAACCCCAGCCACCTCGACCTCCTGGGCGTGGTGTTTTAGGGCCCCCCAACCCTGCGAAAACTCGCGCCGGCACCCCCGACCGCGTCTGACACACCCAGCCACTTCGACCTCCTGGGCGTGGTGTTTGAGGGCCAACACCACCCTGCGTAAACTCGCGCCGGCTCCCCCCCCGCGTCTGACACCCCCAAGCCACCCCCCGACCTCCTGGGCGTGGTGTTTTAAACGGCCCCCCCCCACCCTGCGCCAACTCGCGCCGCACCATCCCACCGCCTCTGGCACCCCCAGGCCACCCTCGACCTCCTGGGCGCGGTTTTGAGGGCCCCCCCACCCTGCGGAAACTCGCGCTGGCACCCCCCACCGCGTCTGACACCCCCAGCCACCTCGACCTCCTGGGCGTAGTGTTTCAAGGCCTCCCCACCCTGCGTAAACTCGCGCCGGCTCCCCCACCGCGTCTGACACCCCCAAGCCACCTCGACCTCCTGGGCGTGGCCCTGCGCAAACTCGCGCCGGCACCCCCCACCGCGTCTGCCACCCCCAGCCACTTCGACCTCCTGAGCGTAGTGTTGCAGGGCCTCCACACCCTACGTAAACTCGCGCCGGCACCCCCCACCGCCTTCTGACACCCCCAGCCACCTCGACCTCCTGGGCGTGGTGTTTGAGGGCCAACACCACCCTGCGTAAACTCGCGCCAGCACCCCCCACCGCGTCTGACACCCCCAAGCCACCTCGACCTCCTGTCGTGGTGTTTGAAGGCCCCCCCACCCTGCGAAACTCGCGCGGTCCAGGCACCCGCGTCAGGCACCTCCCCAGCCACCTCGACCTCCTGGGCGTGGTGTTTCAGGCCAACACCATCTTGCGAAAACTCGCGCCGGCACCCCCCACCGCGTCTGACCCCCCAAGCCACCTCGACCTCCTGGGCTTGTGTTTCAGGGCCAACACCACCCTGCGAAAACTAGCGTCTGACACCCCCAAGCCACCTCTACCCCCTGGGCGTTGTGTTTGAGGGCCCCCTCACCCTGCAAAAACACGCGCCGGCACCCCCCACCGCGTCTGACACCCCCAGCCACCTCGATCTCCTGGTGCCTTGTTGTTTCAGGGCCAACACCACCCTACGCAAACTCGCGCCGGCACCCCCCACCGCGTCTGACACCCCCAAGCCACCTCGACCTCCTGGGCGTGGTGTTTGAGGGCCCCCCCACCCTGCAGCCCAAGAGAAGGAACACGAACCAAACATCGTAGCGTTCCGCCCAAGAGGCCACTAGGAGGCCCGAAGAGGCACCCAAGAGGCCCCAAAAGGCTTCAAGAAGCCCCCAATGAACCCAACAGCGACCCCACGAGGCTCCAAAACTGCCCCCAAGAGGCCTCACACTGCATTCAAGAGGCCCCCTAAGGGTTCCCAAGAAATCCCAACGAACATCGAATATGCTTCGTACCCACAACCCAGACACAATGGCGGGATGGGCCGAGGGCCAGTCGATAGAGAGGAGTCCAAGGTGCAACAGAGAATCAAGAGTCTCACCTGAACACTTCCTGCCGTGTTCGGAAAAGCACCAGCACCCCGACAACAAACGAATCAAACATTCGTCGCTCAATTGGGGTCGGCGGCAGAGGCGGCAGCCTTTAGATTCAATCCGGCCGCTCCCGCCCTGCGGTGTGGGCCGTGCGAGACCTCTTTGACACAGTGTCTGGCACAGTCTTTGGCCCCCTTCTCCAGTGCCTGGTCAAAAACCTCCTGAAAGTCCCTCCGAGGGGGCCCCACTCTGCCGCCGGCCCCCCCCCCCCTCAAGGTCTCAAACGGCCCGGGGACGACCCAAGGGCGCCCCAAGCCGGTCCAAGAGAGTCCCGAGCAGTCCAAGAGAGCCTCCAGACGATTCCAGATCGCTCCAAGACGCCCAAGATGGCCTCCGGACGGCCCAAGACGCCTTCAAGACGGCCCAAGAGGGCTCCAAGAGCACCCCCAAGACAGCCCCGAGAAGCAAAAATCATTGATTTTCCAATTGTTTTTGAAGGATTTTCACGTTCACGCCATTTCGGCTTACCCACGCTTCGCGACGGCCCAAGAGGCCCCCAAGATCGCCCCAGGACGGCCCAACAGGCCCCCAAGACGGCCCCAAGACGGCCCAAGAGGGCCCCCAGACCGCCCAAGAGGCCCCCGGGACGGCCCAAGAGGGGCCCCAGGATGGCCCCAAGAGGAGGCCCAGAAGGGGAACCCGAATGAACATTTCGAGCTTTCGGCTCAAGAGGCCCCCAGGAGGCCCTAAGAGGCCCCCTGGAGGCCCCCAACAAACCCCAAGAGAGCTCCAAGAGGCCCCAAGAGGGCCCCAAGAGGTCTCCAAGAAGCCCCTGGGACGCCCCCAAGAGGCCCCTGGAGCGTCACGACGGTCGATGCTGCGCACCACTTCGACAAACTCCCAGGGAGCGGCCGGTGATGCGCCGCCGGCGTCCTCGATGTAATATCTCTGCTCCAGCGGGGACGAGGGCAACAACTGCATGTCCAACTGTGGCTTTGGATTTGAGTGCATGAGAGTGGGGCAGGAGGGAAGGGAGAGGAAACGAGGGGTGAAGGGCAAGCTCAGCGCGCACGCGCCACACCAAAAAGAACCCAACCCGCTCCGCCCATCCCTCTCCGTTGCGTTGAATGCCTCTTGATTCCCTCGAGTCGGTCGTCGGATCGGCCCCTGGAGGGCGGAGGCGGGGGGAGGACGGGAAAACGATAATGAGCATTGCGGCGCCCTTCCATGGGCATTCCAGAACCTGGAACCCACGGACCCTGAAAATTCGCCGGCCCAACGGGCCAGAGGCGTGCTAAAATCTCTGGTAAAAGGTACCTATACGACCACCCTTCGAGTGATAAGAAGGTTGTGGGGGGGAGGGGGGGGAACCAACATCTGACTCAATCGATCTCACTATCGCTCTCACTCAACGGGACACCACGGGACACCACGGGCCACCACGGGCCACTTGTCGATCTCACGATCGATCTCACTATCGATCTCACTCAACGGGACACCACGGGACACCACGGGCCACCACGGGCCACCACGGGACACCGTGGGACACCTCTCGATCCCACTATCGGTCTCACCACCGATCTCATTATCGATCTCACTCAACGGGACACCATATAGGACAGCACGGGACACCTCGGGACATCACATCGATCTCACTATCGATCGCACTATCGATCTCACTGTCGATCTCACTCAACGGGACACCACGGGACACCACGGGACACCTGTCGATCTCACTATCGACCTCACTTTTTGGGACGCCACGGGACACCTCGGGGCACCACATCGATCTCAGTATCGATCTCAATATCGATCTCAATATCGACCTCACTCAACGGGACACCACGGGACACCACGGGACACCACGGGACACCACGGGACACCGCGGGACACCACGGGACACCGCGGGACACCGCGGGCCACCGCCGGACGGACGAACGGACGGACGGGGGAGAATCATTTGTCTTGACTTCACCCTAGCAGCGGCGGGTTACTCCCCTCGCGCGCCCACGCAGCTTCGCCTCGCCCGCACGCACGACGCGAACGAAACGAAACGATTTCCTGGTGGGGGGTCTCCGTTCCACTGCGATCTCACCCCCCCAACCTCCGATACGGATGTATCTAATTCGCGCACCCGTGGCGGCCCCTGGGGACCCCCGGACGAAAAATATCCCGGCAAGGTCCCAGCAGGGCCAGGTCAGAGCTGCCAGAACTCCTGGGCGCGGCCGCCGCCTCGGGGCCCCCCGGGCGCCCCAATGAGGCGCCAAAAGGGTGGCACGCCCCAGGGCTTCAGGCCAAAAGCGTTCCAAGATGGCCCAAGTTGGTCCCATGACGGCCCAAGGAACGCCCAAGACGCTCCAGGAGGGTTCCAAGAGGACTCCGAGAAGCCCCGAAAATGCAAACATCATTGACTCTGCTCCGGTTTTCGGACGATTTTGGCGGCACCGCCTTTTCGAACTGCCGACCGCCCTGGACGGCCCAAGAGGCCCAAAGATCGTGCCAAGACGGCCCGAAAAGCCTCCAAGGGGCCGCCAAATGGGTCAAGATGGCCTTAAGACGGCCCAAGAGGCCTCCATGACGGCCCCAGAATGGTCCCCAATGAGGAGCCCGAATAAATATTTCGAGCTTTCTGCCCCAAGAGGCGCCCAGGAAGCCTCCAGAGGCTCGAAAGAGCCACCCAAGTGGCCACAAAAGCCCCCCAAGAAGCCTCAAAAGAGGCTCCCTAGATTCCCAACGGGCCGCCAGGAAACCCAAAGAGGCCCCCGAGAAGCCCCCAAGAGACTCCCAAAAGCCTCAAAACTGTTCCCCGCAGGCTCCCTCCGAAAAGACCCCAAGAAACATCCATGAGGACTTTAACTCACAACCCAGGGACGTCTCGAAACTCTGCCGGAGCCCTCTTGAGCCAACTTGGCGCCATCTGGGGTTGTTTATCGGTTCTCTTCGACTGGGTGCGGGCCAAGTCTCAAAAAATCTCACCGAAAACCGCCGTGCCTGCCCTACCGTCCCCCCTGGGCACGAGCACGCCACCGCGCAGCCACAGTGATTCGAAGAGGGGGCCCGCGGAAGCAGCGAAACGATTCAGTAGGACCCCGTGCCAGATGCTCCACGACGGCTGGGTGGCGGGGGGTCGACCGCAGCCGAGCACTGATGCCACCCTGGCTGTGCAAGCAGAAGAAGTCAACGCAACCCGCGCGCGCGCAAAGCCACGGCCGGCGGCCGTCCAACAACGCACGACGGGCCCCGCCCGACCCGAGGCGGGCGCGGGGCGCCGCCCGCCCAGCGGGAAGGCCCGATCTCGGCCGCCGGGGTCCGAGGGGCCAGATCCACGGCAGATCGGCGGCGGGCGAGGGCGGGAAGTGAGAGGGAGGAGGCCTCCTCAGAAAGCGGCGGGGGCTTTTCAGAATCCCTCCAGCCCTCCGTAGACGAGCGCGTTCCACCGCTCGCAAAGTAGCCACTCGCAGATGGCCTGGATCCGCCGCGGGGGATCCACGATAAACTAGATCGAAGCAGACACGTGCCTTTTTCTCGGGCGTTTGCGAGTGGGCACTTTGCGAGCAAACTCGCTCGGTGACTCTGAGAAGTTTTTTGCGTTGCCGGGGAAGGCCTGGATCGCCCCAGCAAAGCACCCCAATGGCAAGTAAGGCGCGGAGATTTCTCGATGTCCCACATACGCAAACGACGAAGGTGTGTTGATGATGGGTATGACGATGCTGATGATGGCCACGACGAGACTCCGCGATCCCCTCTACCCCAGGAGGAAGATTTCCCGTTCGGCCCCCTCCCGTTCCTTGAGGGGCCGAACGACTCCACGGTCACACCGGCATCTGCCCAGACCCCCCTGGGGAGTCATGATGCTCTTTTGAGCACACTAGAAACCTATCAGTCTTCGCTGTTAGGTAACAAGATTCGAACCCACAGGAAGGGGCAATCTATAGGCACATCTGTAAACACACCGGATTCGAGCCCCAGGAGAGGGGCAAACTATAGGCACATACGTAAAACGCGTGGGGCTCGAACTCAGGAAAAGAGCACTCTATAGGGACATACGTGAAACATATGGGTCTCCAGCCCCAGGAAAGGGGCAGTGTTTAAGAACAGACATGACACACATCGAGATTCGAGCCACAATAAAAGGGCAATCGGTGGGAACTTACGAGGTAAAACACACAGTTGACCACAGATGAGGGGCAAAATATAGGAACAGGGGTAAAACACATCGAATTCGAGCCCAAGTAAAGGCTCATCTATAGGAACATACGTAAGGCACGCAGGATTCGCGCCCCAGGAGAAGCGCCGCAAACTATAGGCACATGCGTAAAAACAGATAGGATTCGAGCCATAGGAGAGGGGAACAAATAGAGCTCGAGCCCCAGGAAGCATGCATTTCAGCTGAAACCGAATCAACACATCAGATTGAGGAGTTTTGCCGGATCTTCATCGAGCCAGAACACCACAGGGAGCCCGAGTCCCATTCTTTGATCCGCGAGGGCTGGCTCACGATGGTGTTCTGGCTCGATTTGGCCCAGAAGTGAGACTCACTATGATAGTGTTCAGTCGGGCGTGTCCCCTTACAGGGGGATTTTCGACGAACAAAAAAAAAACCCAAAAATACCCAAAGAAAGTCAAAAAATACCCAAAAAATAGTCCCCAGACTATTTTTGGACTATTTTTTGATTTTTTTTTGAATATGTTTCATTTTTCGTCGAAAATCCCCCTGTAGGGGGACAGGCCAGACTTAATGATAGTGAGTCTCACTTCTGGGCCACATCGAGCCAGAACGCCATCGTGAGCCTCATCCCCCGCGGCGCCCCCGGCACCCCGCCGGGCCTGGGCGACGCCTCCCCCCGGCCTCCCCCGTGGAGACTCTGGTGAGAGGAATCTTTGATCTCGATTCCTCCCCCTCCTCCTCCTCCTCCTCTTCCTCTTCCTCTTCCTCCTCCTCCTCCTCCTCCTCCTGCTCCTCCTCCTCCTCCTCCTCCTCCTCCTCCTCCTCCTCCTCCCTCCTCCTCCTCCTCTCCTCCTCCCTCCCTCCTCCTCCTCCTCCTCCTCCTCCTCCTCCTCCTCCTCCTCCTCCTCCTCCTCCTCAAACCCTCTAGCGAAACGCCTCCAGGGAAAACCTTCTAACTTCCGAGCCCTCCGAGGAGGCCCGCCCCCTCTCTCCTTCCCCGAGGGCTGGCCGCCGAACAGAGGAATGGCAGAGTGGCGATGAATAGAAACAGTTGAAGGTCCGAGCGGAGCTCCCAAAATGTATAACCTCATCCAGCAATTAAGCACCCCCCCACTTCCAGTGAAACGATCACGCAGCCAGCACCCGAAAGCGTGATCCTGGCACCCTGAGGAAGAGTGGAGGAGGAGGCGGAGGATGAGGAGAAGGAAGAAGAAGAAGAGGAAGATGAGGAGGAGGAGAAAGAGGAGGAGGAAGAGGAGTTATTCATGCCGTGGTTTGATGTTCTTCTTCGATAGCCGGATCTCCAGTCGATCGGGCGGATCTGCGCGCGGAGGCGCCCCGCAGGGGCTCCGACACTGCCGCTGACGACAAGGTCCGTCCCGGGCACGACGCACAGGCAGAGCACTTCCTCCTCGACCACCTGGGCCGAGCTGCGGCCCAAGAGGCCCAGCCAGGGCGGCGGTGCCACGGGCGTGGGGCCGAGGCCTCCCGCTGGAGACCGACCTGGGGCCCAGACGCTTGTGTAACGAAGCAAGACTTCCGAAGCCAGTCCTCCTCCTCCTCCTCCTCCTTCTCCTCCATTTCATCTTCTTCTTCTTCTTCCTCTTCCTCCTCCAATTCCTCTTCTTCTTCTTCCTCCTCCTCCTCCTCCTCACACCCTTCCTTGTCCTCCTCCTCCCCTTCCTCCTCCTCCTCCTCCTCCTCCTCCTCCTCCTCCTCATTCCTCCTCCTCACACCCTTCCTTGTCCTCCTCCTCCTCCTCCTCCTTCTCCTCCTCCTCCTCCTCAGTAGTGCTCATAACGCGTAAGTGTGGATGCGAAGATGCACCACTTGGGTAGCATCTCTTAGACCACGGCCCTGGCCACGCGCGAATCCAACATGCTGGAGCTCGGCTTTTCTCTCCTCCCGCGAACTCCAAACCTGCACCCGGCCTACCACCGACAATAACACCGCCCTGCTGTAGCCTGGCGCCTCGGCCAGATCGCACGGGTGCGATCGCGAAGGCTTCAAAGGGCTGCGCGTGCCAGCCATGTACTGCTGCACTCGTCAGGCACGCAGGGCACGACAAGCACGCAGGGTGTTGGAAAATACCGGCTTCAGAAAGAAGCTTGGAAACTTTGGAACCACACATGTCTGCACCGTCTTCGATTCCTGTCCCCCCAAATCGGCTCCACATTCGCAAACATCATGGGGCGGACCTCGGACAGCATGCCTGCCGACTTCGACGATTCGTCTGGGAAGATGGAATGTAAAGGGTCTCAGAGGGGGACTCTCAGGTCAATTCGCAGAGATTTTCGACACGATGCGAAAACACAACATTGATAGATTTCGCATGCAAAAACACAGCTACGTGGAACATGCTAGTATGATCACACATCTGGTCGTCTGGTATGTCTGTCTGGGGAACTTGATGCAGGCAAACGTTCAGATGCTGGGGTTGGCTTCGTAGTTCCTCCATAGACCGAGATAACCTCAATTTCGATCCATGCCTCTTCCACGAAACTCGCCTCCCTGATGATCAACAATGTTGGTGGGATGCTAGCCCTCATCACCGCGTGTGCCCTGCACAATTGACAGTATGAACATGTCTAATCCGACCTGGACATTAGATCCAGCGGACAACACCACACACCACACAACACCACATTCGGGCGGATTCCAATGTTAAGCTGCTTCGAAAAAACAAAGAACACAACACAGGACAGCATGTGTACAGTGGGAAACTACGAAGCCCACCGCAACGCAAGCCTCCAAGCGCCAACTTCTGATGACATACTGTTACGACTACGACATGGCGATCGCGAGCAAATGTTTCGATGTGAGTGGCTTCAATGGAGTCAGTCTGAGAAACCCGGCGCAGCTCCTCAATCAGCTCGCGGGCAAGCAGGAACACCTGCGCGCGAGCTTCGAGGAGCAAACAGCTACATACATGTATACGTTCCCTACGTAGGCTCTGCCTAGAAGGGTTCATACCCTCTGGGCTTAAAGGGCCGAGCAGTGGAAACCGCCCCGGGCGGTTCCCCCGGCATCTGCCCCGCGGTTCCCCCAGTTACATCCCCTGGGCTCACCCAGCTAAGCTAAGCTAAGCTAAGCTTAGCTTAGCTTATCTCATCTTAGCTTAGCCTAGCTTAGCCTAGCCTAGCCTAGCTTATCTCATCTTAGCTTAGCTTGGCTTAGCTCGGCTTACCTTAGCTTAGCTTAGCCTCGCCTAGCTTAGCTTAGCACAGCTCACCTTAGCTTAGCTTAGCTTAGCTTAGCGCAGCATTAGCATTAGCACAGCATAGCATAGCATAGCCAAGCATAGCATAGCTCAGCATAGCATATCATATCATAGCGCAGCACAGCATAGCATCGCATTGTTTAGCAGAGCACAGCGCAGCATAGCATAGCATAGCCTAGCACAGCACAACATTGCATATCATAGCAAACGCAAAAACAAGAACAAAGCAAACGCAACAGCAAAATCAAAGGCAAATGCAACAGCAAAGGCAAGAGCAACAGCAAAGGCAATGCAAAGCAAAAGCTAAACCAATGCGAAAGTGTAGATGTAGATGAAGATGTAGGTGTAGATGTGAATGTAGGTGTAGATGTATATGTATATGCAGGTGTATATGTAGGTGTAGATGTAGATGTAGATGTGAGTCTCGCTGTTTATGTTGATGTAAATGTAGATGTAGATTCAAGTGTCGATGAAAGTGTAGCTGTCGGTGTAGATGTAGATGTTGCTTTCTTAAATGCTCCAACTCCTGGGTAGGGTCGCACTGGGATAATTTATAAAAATGTCGAAATGCACATATATGTGTATATGTATATATATATAACTATATATATATATACATGTACCATCTATGTGTACATATAGGAGGTTGGGGGGAAAAATCGCAGTGTAACGGAGTCCCCCCACCGGGAAATCGAGTTTCGAGTTCGTGCTCGTGCCGTGCGTGCGGGCGAGGCGAAGCTGCGTGGGCGGGCGAGAGAAATTCACCAGGGGTCCGCCAACACAAATGTTTCCCCCTTCGGCCTTGTCAAGCGGGGGCTCGCATTGTCCCGTCGGTGGCTCGCCGTTGTCCCGTTGGTGTCCCGTCGGTGTCCCGTCGGTGTCCTGTCGTGAGATCGATAGTGAGATCGATCGCACACTCGGTCTCACATTCGGTCTCACGATCGATATCACTATCGATCTCACCATCGACCCCACATTCGGTCTCATAGTCGATCTCACTATCGACCGCACTATCGATATCACTATCGATCTCATTATCGATATCACAGTCGATCTTACCATCGACCCCACAATCGATCTCACTACCGATCTCACTATCGATCTCACTATCGATTTCACATTCGGTCTCACTATGGAACGGACGATCGATATCACAATCAATCTCACAATCGATCTCACGATCGGTCTCACTATCGATCTTTCAACCGATCTCATAATCGGTCTCACTATCGATCTCACAATCGATCTAACTATCGATCTCACAATCGATCTCACAATCGATATCACAAAACTATCGATCCCACTATCGATCTCACATTCGATCTCACAATCGATCTCACTTTCGGTGTCACTATCAATTTCACGATCTACCTCACTATCGATCTCACAATCGATCGCACTATCGATCCAACATTCGGACTCACATTCGGTCTCACAATCGATCTCACTATCGATCTCACCATCGATCTCACTATCGATCTCACTTCCATTTGGTATCATAGGCCGGGGGGGGGCCGTTCTTGGACCACTGACTCGTCAGAGGACAAATAAATGCCGTCATGTATTGGCCATGCCGGCCGCGGTCGGCCGCAAAAAAAAGATGCCACGCGCGGGAATGGGGCAGGGAGGGAGGGGCAAGAGGGGGAAGAGGAGGAGGGAGGGGCAGGAGGGGGAAGAGAAGGAGGAGGAGCAGGAGGAGGAGGAGGAGGAAGAGGAGAAGGAGGACGGGGAGGAGGCGGCATTTATTTGTCCTCGGCCCCTGTTGGGCGAATTTCGCCACCACCATCCTCGTCGCCATCTCGTCTCGCTCGCAGTCACGCGCATCGTATTTCGGCGGGATTTACTTGGCCCACATCGTCTCGCGCATCTCGGATGCCGATGTGGGGCGGCATTTACTTCGCTTCGGTCTCTTTCTTTCCTCTCCCCCTCTCTCTTTTTCTCTTTCTCTCTCTCTCTTTCTCTCTCCTTCGCTGTATCCGTCTCGCTCGCAGCTGTTAGGCTCGCAGAGGCTCAAGGGAACGTCTGCGCGACCGGCCATGTCGCTAGCAGGAGCGCCGGACCTCGGGAGCGAAGCCCTCCAGGCGCCAGGCTCTGCCAGCGCCCAAGTGCCAGGCTCTGCCAGCGCGCCACTCAGCCCGGGAGGCCTCCGCCGTCGGTCTCCTTCAGAGTACCGAGGTTCCAGGAAAGAGAAACAAAGGTACGAGCACAGCACGACCTCCACAGCTGGTTTCGTGGAGCTGAGCCCCATGCACGTCATGAAACCAGCAGAACTCCACAACGCACTCGCTGCAGACCCAGCCGTCAGCAGAGTCGTGCACAACAGCGCCAAGACGTCGCAGGGAGACCCCGGGAACCACTACATGGAGCAGAACCTGCTCGTGTACGTCGTAGGGTTTCCGGGCAAACCTCTGGAGTTCGAGCTGACGCGCCACCAGCGCATGAAGCCTTCGCCTGAGAGGTTGAACACCGTCACGGCGTGCTTCAAACCTCCGCCGAAAGGCATGAAGGCCGTGGCGTGGCAAATCCTCATGCGAGTCGTGCAGGGCAAGGAACTCATGCCGGACTGGGCGCGCCGCTACGCACGCGCGGCGACAGAACGGGCAAGCCAGCAGTTGGCCGAAGAGGCCGAAATGGGAGGCGGCAGCGCCAGCGGGCCAAGCTCTGCCAGCCCTGCAGGCGCGGCTCCGGAAGGGCCTCCGCTGAAGAAGAGCGAACCGCTGGCGGAGGACGCGTCGCCAACCAGCGGCCCAGCCTTCCCGGCAGACTCGCCCGAGGCGCCAGCGGGCGCGGCGGGGGCGACGGGCGCGGCCACCAGCGGGCCAGGCTCTGTCAGCCCTGCAGGCCCGGCTCCGGAAGAGCCTCCGCTGAAGAAGAGCAAGCCGCTGGCAGAGGAGGAGTCGCCAACCGGCGGTCCAGCCTTGCCGGCAAACCCGCCCGACCGAGGCGCCAGCGGGCGTGGCGGGGGCGACGGGCGCGACCGCCAGCGGGCCAGGCTCTGCCAGCCCTGCAGCCTCGGCTCCGGAGGGGCCTCCGCTGAAGAGAAGCAAGTCCACGGCGGGCGCTGCTTCGCCAACCAGCGGCCCAGCCTCGTCGACAGAAGTGCCCGAGGCGTCAGCGCTCGCGCCGCCGGAGTCGCCGGAGCCGGATTGGTCCGAAGACGCGGGCCACGAACCATCTGCCTACGCACAAGAGGAGCTCGAACAGCCTGCGGGGGAGGACGAGGACACGCTGCGCCGGCGGCGGGTTGCCTACGCCGCGACCTTCCTCGGGTTTAACGACCTGGGCAAGCTCTCGCCCGCCTTCGCCGAGGCGGTGCAACAGCGGGGCATGGCGGAGGATCCCCGGACGGAGATGGCCAGGGCGACGCAGGCCAACGTGGTGGAGCAGGTGCGCTGGCGGCCCACGGACCTGGTGGACCCCGCGTCTCGGGGCGGCATCGCCCACGTGCGAGCAATGCTGCAGGGCGCCAACAAAGAAGCGGTGCTGAAAGGGGAGGACGTACCGGATACATGAGACCTGGTCCGAGATCGCGTCGATAGGCCATGCTACCTGCGCCGGCACGCGCCAGGCACTGCCAGCGCGGGGCCGTCGAAGGTAGTGCTCGAACAGCGTCCTGCGCCGGTGTCGCCGAGTGACTTTCTCCAGCAGGCGTCCAAGAGGTCTCTGGGGGTGGTGGCGTTCCACGCCGCGCCCAAGCGTGGCGAGCAAGACATGAGGCAGGCGCTGCGCGAGGACTACAGCAAGCTCTTCGAACATTTCCCTGACACCACGCCTCCGAAATTCCCACCGGGTCAGCTCGACACCGCAGATG